GAATTAAGCCATTCTTGTTTAGAAACGGATGGGTCCCATCACTAGACCTTTGTACCGGGAGGTTCTTTCCAGGTCCTTGCTGAAAATCATGACTTCTTGTAATGCAGCTGTGACGATTTGAAGATAATGGCCTCCAAAGGCTCATAGATGTGATGCTTACTTCCCAGTGGGTGAAACAGTTTGGAAAAGATTAGGAGTGTGGCCTTGTTGGAGGTAGTGTGTCACCAGGGGTGGACTTGGAGGTTTTGTTCCCAGTCTGCTGCCACACTCTCCACTATGACGGTCACCGACTAACCCTCTGGCACTATAAGCAAGCCCCCAGTGAAATGCTTATCTCCATAAATTACCTCAGCCATGATGTCTCTTCACAGCAATAAAAAATTTACGAAGACAGCCATTCAAATGAGCTAGACATCCCCAACTCAGAAAAAAACAGGCAACTTTGGATTCCACATCTGTCAAATTAAGTAATTACAGTCTAATTTCCAGACTCTTGTTCTGTGAGTCTTTGTTTTTTTTTTCCTATTGGTGTTTGTTTGTTTTTGTTGTTTTGTTTTGTTTTTGTTTTTCAAGACAGGGTTTCTCTGTGTAGCCCTGGCTGTCCTGGAACTAGCTCTGTAGACCAGGCTGGCCTCCAACTCACAGAGATCTACCTGCCTCTGTCTCCTGAGTGATGGGATTAAAGGTGTGAGCCACCACTGCCTGACTTTGGAGTCACTTATTGATGAAGACCTTAAACAACTGAAAACCAATGTCCCCAAAACTTCCTTATAAGTTATAAGCATTAAAGATGGGGAAGGGTAAGATTCTTTATTAAGAGACAATTTTATGAAGGAAAGAAATGAAACAAATCAGAAAAAAAGTTTGAGGTCCAGTGAAGATAGCTATCTTGTGACATAGATGAATATATTTTGTGAAATGGATCATGGAGCAGGGAGGTGTACACAAAGATTCACTCCCAGCTGAGAAGCTATGGCATTTGATAGCTGCTGGGAGACAGAGAGTCAACTGTCTTCCTTCCTTCCTTTCTAATCTTAAAGATTTTATTTACTTAATGTTATGTGCATGAACGTTTTATCTGAATGTATGTATGTAAATCACATGCATGCCTGGTGCCCCCACAGCTCAGAGGTTATCAGATCCCCTGGAAGTGGAATTACAGATGATTGTGAGTCAACAGGTAGGTGTTGGGAACCAAACTCAGATCCTATGCGAGAGCAACAAGTTCTCTTAACCACTGTTAAGCCTTAAAGTCAGTTTTCTTTGATGGTGGTGACCCTGACATATTGACCATGCCTCAGGGCAGGACATACACTCAAAAGAAGTTGGCCAACACAAATTGGACTCAGTGGATTTAAAAGAGAGAGAGAGAGAACACCAAGTTGTCTGAGCAGGAAGGTGGGTGGATCTGGAACAAGAGAAGGTGTATATCCTCAAAATACACTGTATGAAATTCTCAAAGAATTAATAAAAACATTTTTAAAAGTATATTTTTATGATTTGTTATGGTTTTCATTCTGTTGATTTTGTACAAGCTTCAATGGATTACATTCTGACTCTGCTATTGATTATAATATATTTCAACTGAATTTAGGTCAAAATTTGCTATTGTTTTTCTGTTAGACTTTTCCAACCTAAATCCTTTTTTACCAGTCTATGTGACTTTCTTTATTCATGTAGATCCATGAATTGAAAGAAAAATGGGGAACTATAAATGCCAAATATCTACCTCTGAATGTGCAATTTAAATACATTGAGCAGGAGTTGTTATCAATAAAAATAGCACAAACACTATATGAAAAGGTCCACAAGGAAGAGAAGATTCTGGAAAGAGATGCACTAGACCTGCAGCACCAGCTACAAGAGAACATGGTAGGTCAGAGCGAAGAGAGATAATGTCAGTGGGGTTCTGAAGAGAGAGGAAGTCATCATTTAGAAAACTCATGAGACAGGCATCCACTTTTACAGCATAACTGATGTGTGTGTGTGTGTGTGTGTGTGTGTGTCCTCTGTGTGTCTTATAACAGCCAGTGTTGGAGATTTCTAGAAGTCAGGTGACATCTGTTAATCCCTTTAATTAAATCCCATCATTAAAATACAATTATCTTTCAGAATAATCACTTTCTACATGCTTCTGAATTGTCCTTAAGTTATACTGTTGGGGGTTTTTTGAAATTTGAGTCAACTCTATCCTGTGAACTGTCTGGTTACATAGGGGCAAACATGAGAACAATTCAGAACCAAGACTTGTAGCCCAACCAAACAAAGTTCAATGTCATTTTATGATCAGATTTAACAGAGTTGGTATTGATATTTTAAACTCTGACATCTTATTTCACATATTTAAAATTACTCTGGGAATCAATAACTCAAAACTAAAGTAAGCACAGCAAGTATTTTGAGTGTCTAGTATAATTATTTTTAAAGTATATCATTTTAATTTTCCATAGGCAAAATCAGAGGATAAAAACCACCCAATGGCATTAAGAGACAGTAACAATGATTCAGTAATGAGTCAAATGGAACTCAAGATTAAAAGTCTTGAATCAGAGCTTGAGAAAATGCAAGCTGAAAGAGAGTCCGATGCAAAGAAGGTAGAGAAATACAAGCAGCGCTGTGTCAAAGAGCAGGAACTCAGCAAGATGTTATCACAGAAGCTCAACAAGTAAGCGGGAAACAGTCGCTCACTTTCTCACATAAACAGATTCAGTAGGATATGTAGGCAAGCAACAAATTATAACTGGATTATAATAATGTCAGGAAATGAACCCACACTTAGAGTGTGGCTACAGAACACTTCCCCCTTTTTTAATTTTCAGTTTTATGTGTTGTTCTTTCCTAATGATAGATTGGCCTTTCAGCTAATTTAGACAGTTATATTTTTATAAAATTATGTTAACATTCTCTCAAATAGAAACATTAACAATTACTTTTTTAGAAACACACCTAGAAGGACCCACAGTAATGACACTGCCCCTCTGGGCACATTCTGACTCTTGTGGAGGTTAACTGTCTGCTACTGCATCCATTTCATCTCTGGTGTCACTGGTAGAGTTACCTGCTGTACATCAAGGCAGACTTGACTCCTAGGGGTAGGTTATCCCAGTGATGAACAAAACACCATTCATAAGCATAATCCCCGGGCATGTGTCGGGGTGTGGGGGGGGGGCAGAAATGGCAAGTCCTTTCTCAGAAATGACTTAAGATGCTAACTGCTCCAGGAACTGCTCATTTTGATTTTTAAATAATCAGGAGAAGCATCTTCTGTCCCAGGGGCTGCTCCTCTGAATTTCCCTCTGTACCAAATGTTTAATTTGTCTCAGGGCATGGGTGAATTGTACATAGTGAAAGCAAACACTTGAAAATCTGTTGATCCAACAGCTCTTGAGCCCAAAGCTGCTTTACTGCATACAACTATTTCTAGATAGTTTTGAGTTTTGGTTTTTCTATTTGTTAGTTTTTGGTTTTTGAGACAGGGTTTCTCTGTGAAACAATCCTGGCTATCCTGGAACTCATTATGTAAACCAGTCTGGCCTCTAACTCACAGAGATCCGCCCACCTCTACCTCCCCAAAGGCATGCGCCACCACTGCCCAGCTGAGTTTTATTTTTTAATTGTGAACATTTTGTACATTTGTATACATTTGTCATGGATCACCACACAATAGTTTGTTGTGGTTTCCTGTGGTACAATGGTTATTATAGTCAATGAAGGAGACCTCCCAGCAGTAGGGGCTTCCTCCTGGACCTCAGATTAGGCACAAACTACACCTGAACACCTGTTTTCAGAGAGATCCTTTATTATGTGGGAAAGAAAAGTTAAAGTGGCTGCTCAGACAGAAAACAGCAGCAAATGACCTTACAGGTGTAATTTTGAAGAGGAGGAAAAAGGGAGATCTATGTTAGAATGGGCTAGGATGCAATCGGATATTTTGATTTGGCGTGTTAATTTGGTGAACCAAACAGGGCTTTTGATTGCTGGACTTTGGTACTCATCCTGAAGAATGAATCTGGCATACAAAATATCCAAATAAGGGAAAAGACCTTGATGGCTTAGCTTTCTCGATGTAATCTAAGGGTTTTTAGCAAGGCAGAGGGAAGAAGGACAAGGCTTGCCAGAGCTACATATTCAGTGGGCTAGTGTCCCTTCAATCAAGAATATGAGCATAGCATCATGTCATCATTGGCAAGCGTTCATCTCTCTCCTACTCTAAATTTACTTGTTAGCTTGGAAGTAGATGTACTTCTTTATAACAAATTTAAGTGCCGAAGGTATGCTCCAACACGTTTTCAGCTTTAAGACATTAGCAAATGGAAATAGGAAGTACTTGCTAAAGAGCCTGACTCATTTGGGGAACAAGAGCATAAGTACTTGCAATCTTCACAGGACTAACAGCAAACTGAGTAAAGTCAGAACAGACATTCTGCTGGTGACAGAACAGAACAGAGCTATGCAGAGCGCTCTTAGTCCATGGCCTGTCACCGAATGTCCTAGTGTCACAAAGCGTAACACTTGTGTGAAATGCAACCCAAGCTTCATTCCAAGCAGAAACCCAGAGCCTTCTATCTCCAGCCCTCAGCCTTCTGAGTCTATGCGGAGAAGTCTGCTCAAGGTAAGCAGTATTCTGTCCTTTGGCATCCCAACTCTGTTATCTGATAGTAATGTTAATTCTCTTCATTTGGTGAGATACTGAACTGTTTAGTTGACTTACACATGTTCAGTAAAGGTCACAATAGACAGTGTTATCTAAGAAGAAAACATTTGTTTTCATTTTTATGTGTCTGAGCTTAAGCAGCTGGGGGTTGCTGTTTGCTAGCCCAGGGCATGGGTTAACTGGTTAAGCAGCAGGTACTTGGAGTCACTTACAGGGGATGGTCCTTTGCCACTGCAGTCTAATTGTAGCTGGGCCATTTGACCAAGCATATGAGATCTCTTTGGGGCTGGATGTCCTGTCCAATGCCAAAGTCCTTAGATCTTTTCTCAAACAAAGGATTCATCACCTCTTTGGCCTTCTGTCTCTTCACAATGGAGGGGGCTGCGGCTACCTTCTTCCTGCTGGCCTTCTTTCCTTTGGGCATCTTGCTCTGCTGGAGGAGAAAGAAAGGGGAATTATGGATATGTAAGTGGTGGCAAAAACCCTAATTTATCATACAATCCCAATGTGGTTTTAAGGGTTCCTGTCTCCCACAAAATTTGTGCCACTATTGCATACACATCATCATTGCAGACCAAAGGGTTTGTAGCTGGGTTGGTGTTTACTTTTCTCCTCTGGTAGCATGCAGTGTACCTTCCTGTACTGGGAACACTAGTCAGTAGAGGTAACGGCTCTAGTTAGACACCAGATCAACTTCTCCGTGTTCAGTGAGATACGTAGGTATTGTCTTCAGCAATAGGGCCTTACTATCATTTTGTGGAGAACAACCAATAGCATTGGTAATAGCCTGACTTGCTTAGAGGTTTCTATAAGACCCTTTGATCAACAATTCAGTTATATGTAACCCATTCCTAGCACTGGAGGTTTCATTTGGCAAGAAATGTGCAGTTGGGGCTTTATCTCCCCCATTATTTGGTTGTTCCATTTAAATTTCTTTCACATGTGTATACATTTTAAGAAGCTTCTACTTTAATAGGTTTTGAGGGGGTCATAAGAAATATATTTTAAGTGATATATCATTCCCACAATATCATTTGTTTTCTTTTAACATTATAAAATCTGACATTTCAGAAGCAGCAAAAAATGGTAAAAGATATAGCTGAAGAGGTAGATAAAGGTATGTTGCCAATGTGTATTGTTCAATTTAGAGTAAATTTACAAAGCAAATTTAAGTAGCCAATGGAATCCCTGCCCTTTTGTTTGTAGATTCTACATTATAAGCAGGCAATCCTAGTGAGTACCATTCACCCCGAATTTCTATAGCTCCATAATTTTTCAAAACCTACTCTTTATTCTTCCTCAACAATTCATTAACATCTGCAGTCAACCTCCTCAAAAACTACAACAATCATCTACTGATACTTAATCAATCACACTCCCTAAATTGTCACTTGACAAGTATCATTTTAAATCCCATTACTTACTTCTAAGACTCTGTATAGAAACTGCATGTCCATCTGGTGTGGGGATATAATACAATAAAATGATTATTGAGAGCTAGAATATATCTTCTCTCATCTTCTCAGTACTCATCACAGTAGTTTAGTACCTGGTCTCCGAGTAAATGAGTGAAGAATGGGAATGCATGCTGACACTCAGCCCTGATGATAATTAATTCAGTGTGTATATAGGAGCAAACTATATTAATTTTAGTTTTGTATTGTAGTAATACATACATACTTGTCATTTTTATCTATTCTGACAAGGTTCTCAGCCTTTTTTTTACTGACTCCTGCTGTTACTGTGAAGTCTATGAGGTAAAGATTGTAATTCTTACTTTTTCTTTCTAGCTGCAGCTGAACTTGAGTGTTGGTCCTTGGAAGCTTATCCTTCAGGATTTAAATAACAAGTCAAGATCTACTTGAGGGAGATAACAAAAATATGTACAGATTGAAAATAAATGTTTTTCTGAAAGAAGACATTTTAGTGACCTGTTTATATAACATTTAGTAGTTTCCCATTAAGTATACTATGTGATAACTGTATTGAAGGAAAATGCTTTTGTATCATATATGTATGATTAAAATTCTGTATTTAGTAGCTGGAGAGATGGCTCAGTTGTTAAAAGCACTTGCTGTTCTTACAGATGATGGGAATTCAATTCCCAGCACCTACAAGTCAGGTGACTCACAACTGCCTGTAACTCCAGCCCAAGGGATCTAACACCCTCTTCTAGCCTCCAAGTGTACCTGTATATAAGTGTGCTTTCATGCACACACACACACACACACACACACACACACAATTAATCTTATTTTTAAGCTGTTTCTTGGCATAAACTTTCAGTGTATTTTACAAGTGAAAACATGTATTACATACCCCAAATGGACATCACTATGCCCACAGTGTTTTGATATGTTAGTCACTGTAGCTCCATCAAACTTAGAGAATTTTGAATTTTTATGCTTTTAACGTTAAACACTGATTTATAGCTCTTTCCTCAAAGAAAAACAACTTTTACTGAAGGAATTTAATCTTTTCTGCTTAACTCTTTTAAAAATGTCTTAAAATTAGAGCATCACACACTATCACAGAGTTTGCCCTGGGTGGACAAGAAGAAGCTAAGGCCCTGCTTAGTGCCTCTAGGACTGAGTGGCACCAATTGACTCACAAGTGATGCCTGGATTGTTTGCCCCGGGCTGGGCTAAGGGCCCGCCCAGCACTACAAGGCAAAATTTTCAATCACTATAGATGGAGAAAGAAAAACATTCCATGATAAAACCAAATTTAAGCAGTATCTATCCACAAGTCCAGGTCTGTAGAAGGTACTAAAGAAACTTCAACCTGAAGAGGTTAACCACACCCAAGAAAACACAAAACATAAATAATCTCAGATTAGCAAATCTAAAGGGGAGTAAAAACCCACACCATAACAACAAAATAACAAGAATCAACAAACACTGCTCATTGATAATTCTCAACATTAACTGCCTCAATTCCCCTAATAAAAAGACTCAGGCTAACAGACTGGATTCAGAAATGGAATCCATCCTTCTGCTGAATCCAAGGAACACAACTTAACATCAATGATAGACACCTCTTCAGGGTAAAAGGATGGAAAAATATATTCCAATTAAATGTATCCAAGAAGCAAGCCAGTGTAGCCATTTTAATATGTGACAAAATAGACTCAAAATCAAAAACTAATCAAAAGAGATAAGAGCAAACATATTTGTACATATTCACCAAAGGAAAATCCACAAAAAGGATATTGCAGTTCTACACATTTATGCACCAAAAATAAAGGCACCAAAGTTCATAAAAGAAACACTACCACAGGTAAAATCATATATTGACCCTCACAGTGACAGTAGGTGACTTCAATATCTGATTCCAGCCAATAGACAGGTCATCCAGGCAAAAACCAAACAGAGATTCTGGAGGTGAATGACATAATAAACCAAATGAACCTGGCAGAGATTTCTAGAATATTTAACCCAAACACAAAATAATATACCCCCTCAGCAGCTCATAAAACTTTCTCCAAAACTGACCGCATACTTGGACACAAAGCAAGTCTCAATAGATACAAGAAAACCGAAATAAACCCCTACATCCTCTCTGAGCTCCCCAGATTAGCACTGGATATCAACAACAACAGGAATATCCCAAACTCATGGAAACCGAACAACTCACTACTGATGAAAGAGAGAAATAAAACAACTTTTTATAATTGAATGAAAATGAATATACAACATAATCAAACCCGTGGGACACAATGAAGGTGGTTCTCGTGTTCATAGCACTAAGTGCCTACATAAAGAAATGGAGATAGTCAACATTAGTAACTTAATGGTATGCCTGAAAGCTCTAGAACAAAAAGAAGAAATAATACCCAGAAGGAGATGGCAAGAAACAATCAAACTCAGAGCTGAAATCAATAAAATAGAAGAAACAAAAACAAAGAATCAATGAATAGTGCTCCGCCCTATAGATCTGGTAGCAAGAAAGGAAACCAATCTCTTCCTGCAATGTGATGTGAACTTGCCTGTTATTTTACAATGATCCCAGTGAAAACCTGCCAGAATAAGAGACAAAGGTCTCCAAGAGAACTCAGCCATAAAGGTCAGGGCTTTCAAATTCTATGTTGAAAGAATTTCAACAACTCTTTCCATCTGCAATAAAATGGTAAGAGTTTTATGGCAGAAACCTCCATATAAGCAACAGTTACAAGGTTATGTGTGACCTGATATATGGAAAGTGCTCCATCTGTCTAGAAGATGGTACTCATGCTTTGAAGTTTAAAGCTAAATAGAACAACTTGCAATATTCTAAAACATAAAGTAATGAGATTTTTATTTATGTAGAAGATACCATGAATTATGCCACATTTTGAACAGAATTTTTCCCATTTAGGATATTTGTGTCACAGTTTCCTGTATGGATAATGCTATAAGCTAAGAATAAAGGGACCTTGACAAACAGGTATAGGGGTATGTGTATGTGCTGGCCTGAACTATGGCATGATGAGGGTACACCCAATTTAGAGGCAGTGGTTGCACCATTTAAAAGATGGCTCAAAGGTTAAGAGCACTGACTGTTCTTCCAGAGGTATTGAGTTCAATTTCCAGTAACTACATGGTGACTCACAACCATCTATAATGAGATTTAGTGCCTTCTTCTGGCATGTAGGAATACATGGAGGCAGAATGTTGTGCACATAATAAATCTTTAAAACAAAATTTTAAGCAGTTGTGCAACTTAATGGGAGGAGTAGTTCCCAAATTTGACTCAATCGTGCAATACACTAATGATTTGTGCCATATGTTTGTATCAACATTTTTGGTTTGGTTTTGCTGTTTTCTTTTTGCTCTTTTGTTTGTTTGTTTTTGTAGACAGCTTTAGTATGTAGTCTGGCTCACCTGGAACTCACTGTATAGACCAAACCTGCCTCAGGCTCCAGAGGGTGAGTTCTGGGATTAAATGCAAGCACCAAAAATTAAACATGTTAAAGCCAATTTTTGTTCTTTTATAAATACACTTAAAGAGGACGTTTGTTACTAGAATTGCTTGCCATAACAAGAATATAACCATAAAGAAAATCAGTGTGCATTCATGTACTAACTTAAAATCACCTCCTTTGCCAATATTGTAAATCACCACACCCGGGCCAACTCTACCGATCCTTAGTTTGGAGGTCTATCCTGAAGGCAAATGTTGGCAATATATTTAATGACTGGATATTAGATGACATTTAGTCAAATTGTAGTCACAGTATAATTCAGTCACCAGGAAAAGAGAACATGTTTGTTTGTTCCCTTGTCCTGCCTGAACTACTAGCCTTTCTGAAGCTTTAATGTGCATGTAAATAGTCTCAGAATGTCGTAAAAATAGATTCAAGTGGATCTGGAAATTGTTAAGTCTGTATTTCTAACAAACTCCCAAGTACACCTGGTACTGTTCGTTTCCCAATCATGCAAGTAGAGTGGTAGGAAACTATTAGGCCAAGTAGAGTGGTAGGAGACTATTAAGTCCCTGAAGACCTGAAGAGCCG